CTTCTTTCATTGAAAAAAAATCTCGCGGCACACCACTTAGCTGAAAATTCGAGAGAGAAAAAAACGCTTATTCTAACAATTAACATGTTATATTGTTACTATAACCGATTTTAACATTGAAGAATGACGTGATAACAGCTTGAATTGGAATCAAATGAGCACAAAGAAAAAAAGTATTTTATAATCTTTTCATATTTATTGTTTCACTGTCGTCCTGCATCATGCGGCACAAATTCGCTTGTCTCTAGTGGTCGAAACACGAGGCAATTGGCTAGCTGTTGCTGCTCCCTAGCGGTATGGGAGGGTACTACATAATTACTTTCTGGGCGATAGACCACACAGGCATACAAATTGGATATTTTACCTCCGGCACAGGGTTTGAAAAACACTGCTGTAGTGCACCTGATGAAAGAAATGTTGTGTTCTCAGGGAGGTTCGGTCATTTCGGTTTGGCCATTAACCTGATCACATCGGAAGACCGCTTCAACCTTAAGACCATCGAGGACCAACTGGTGACCGACATCAAACCCATTCCCGGCAGCATCGATAAGGGTCTCTATGTGGCCGAGTTCCACTCCTCCGCCGGTGACTGCGAAGTGGAGGAAGTCCAAGAAAGATCAGGACACCAGCAGGACCACACCTAATGCTGGTGAGAGCATGTTTCTGAATTGACTTTGAGTCTCTCTCTCTCTTTTTTTTTTTTTTAAAGTGCGTACACAAGAAGCATCTTTGTAACCAAAGCTTTATCTTCCCTGCAGGACACAGCAGGCTTTTGCACACAGGCTTCGGGCACCTCTTCAACATCTCACTTATTTTCACAGCCGCCACAAAAAAAAAAAAAAAATCTTTATTTGCGTCAAACCTCATTTTGGTCCTTGTGAGCTTACCACTCTATTTTTTTTTTCTCTCTAAAAGTGTCACAAAATATGAACAATTCTGTTTTGAACCGGTCATCCTTGGAAATTGCCAGCCGAAAGGTCGATCTCTTTAACGTCAAAACACCAGCCATTGTTGCGTACGCTGTTACCACTTAAGTGCCTTACTTCCTGCCATGCCATTGACTTCAAATTTCCAACGTCTAAGCTTTCTGTTTGCAATATTTTGGATGCTCAAGATGGAATTGAGTTATTCGCAATTCCGTCGATCTGAGGACAAAATGAAAATTGGCGAATGGATATGCCAACTCTGCCGCAGAATGGATGAACGCCAAGCGCTTGAGCCTATTACCGGACACCATTTTGATTTGCTGCTAGTTAAAAGCTGCCTTCAGTTTTTTTTGTGCGGCTGCAGCAATACACATTTCTCGTTTTGTTTGCGGCAAATCCCATTTTGCTAAGGAGAGGATTATTTTTAGTGTGGGTCGGTTGGGGTTCTGGATTTGAAAGCAGAATTGTAGCATTGACGAGGCAGCTGCGACTTTTTTTTTCTTTCTTTTTTTTTTTTTTGTCCTCCCCTAACTGAGATGAAAAATATAGTTTTGCAATTTCTATATATATTTTTTTCAATTCTTTTCTGGTGTGAGTCACGATAAGATGTTGGCACTGGGTTGGGGTGGGTTTCCAGTACGCAATAGATCAACAGAAATTACTGGTGGAAGAAATTTTACATTTTATTTTATTTTTTTTTTACTATTGACGTGATTGATTATGGATATGGATCCCTAAGTTGTAAATTGTTTACATGCCCCCCCCCCGCCCCTCCAAAGTAAAATACAGTACTTAGGGTTAGGGTTAATGGTTTTTCTTTCTTCCTTTTTGCTCAAACTGATTTTCAGGATTTACACTGATGCAAAACCAAAAGAGTGAGTGAGTGATCGATCTACTGTGGAAACGTACATGCAGCCTCAACCCAACTTGACGAAACCATGTGTTAGCACTTGCGTGGTCACAACTTTAGCTCTTGGGGAAAAAAAAAAACACTCAGTCTGGGTTGACGGTTTGACGCTGCATGTAAATGTCTTTTGTTCTTTCCCCCCCCCCCCCCCCCCGCGTTGCCATTTTTTTTGGTGTTACGG